TGCACGTGAGTGTTCCCATAGACTTCAGTGATCCCAGTCATATGAGACAGGAATAGTGGTATGAGAACAGCCACAGGATCAGACCATAGTATAGTAACCATGCCTTCATCTGACATCAATATCTATTTTAAAAAGTAAAAATGGGAAAAAGCCAAGCAATAGATAATTAATATCACATCTGGCGTGCTAATAACAAAATACATAAAAGTGGGGCTAGGTGTAAGGCAACTCATTTCCTCACATGAGAGAATGACCTCCATAACTCACCTGAAGCTCTGCCACTCATGAGTTATGGGTCATTCCTTTTCTGGTGAAAATAAATTTTACAATACCATCATCCGTAGCTATGTATTTTTCCTCTATACATGTAAATTTAAAAATTGCAGAAACATAACCTCTTCTCTTCTTGCATTACGTATATAGCGGACACACTCCTACCATAACAGTTTTTAAATTAATTGTGTTTTGTGAAGTGAAATATCCTCTGCTATATATGTATTCCATGACATGATTTTTGATTAAATAAAAAAGCTGAATTTATTCTTGCACTATTGCTACTGTTAGTAAATTGCTTAATCTGTACTCCCATGTTTATGATGCAGGTTGAATCCTTGAATTCAGTCAAACCTTGTGTTATACTAAGAACCATTTATTACAGCATCAATTTTCCAGTATAAAACTCCTATTTCCAGTAGTTTATAACTCAGGTGTGGACATTTTGTCTGGACTAAAGCTTGGCACATAACATGTTGTCAAGCTATTTTTTTACACTTTAAAAAAAAAGAGACCTTGATTATTCTTTGTTATATGAGAACAATCTTATAAAAGTAGCAAACACTATATTTTTCAGATGCTTCTTCTGCTCTTCTATGTTATTGAAACTGAAGCTTTAAAGGCCACATATCTATAATTCAGACACAGAGATCTTATAATAGTCAAGCTATTCTGTCTATAAATCAATTCTGCATGAGTAGAACTTCCCAGCTTTTGATTAGTCTTTTCTATATGTAGTCCTAAAGTCCAATGCTGCAAGGAACAAACCACCCCAGATACCTGCACATTCAACTCCCACCAAATGTGGAATGCTTAGCACAGTGATTGTGAGCTAGAGGTGATACTGCATCCTTTTTAAGGATGATGCACAATATTAGCACCGTTAGGTGAAACTTACACATGATTCACAAGATACCCAGAGATTTCAGATAGGAATCCAGTGTCAGAATATTTCTGGCCTCTTGTGGTCTTTCCCAGTTCTTTGCAACAAAAGATTTCCTCTATTATTTTTCTGTAGTCAAAAAATGAGCAAAAACTAAGAGCTAGCTTTTTATGGTGGCCTAGCAAATTGCCTGTCAAGAATGACTGTGGGGTGGGGTGGGGTGGGGTGGGAGGGCGGAGTGCCGCGCACCACCACCCCACACCGCCACTGCCTCTCAGGAGCACGGTGGGGAGGGGGGGGAATAAGCTTGCACACAGCCACCCCTAGCCACCAAGCCGCTCTGCCGCTGCTCCGCATCCAGCTGGGTGCCATCCCCACCTCCACATCCAGCCATCTGTCTGTGTGTCTGTCTGTGCAAAGCACTCTAATTGGTTGTTTCTCCAAGGGCATTACAGACAGACACACAGACAGATGGACTAAGCCTTATATATACATAGAATCCTTGAGTTTATTGCAGGGTGGGGTGGGGCGGGTGAGGTTCCTTTCGTCTAAGAAGGTTGAGTACCACTGGCTTAGCACCTTGAAAAGTCAAGTTCTTGATTTGCATAAAATAGAATTGACACAGAAACAACAGACCAAGGAAGTTGCTGGCTTATATCAGTGATAGAAATATTAAGAATGACTTAAATAGGATTTATGGTCTGCAGTCACTAAGATGCATAGTAGACCTCACAGTAGACTTTGCAGTAACATGTTAGTCTCTACAGATAAACTGTACATGAGTGAAGGAGCTTAAGTGCATAAAAATACAGAAATCCACTAAAATTCAGTAAAAATGTAATGTTTATGGGTAGGGACACACCAAATTCATGGTGGAAGTGGGCTGCATGACAGGTTCTTTAATTTTGAAGGTTCCTCCGCCCCCCCTCCCACCAATTGGCAGAGGGGCCTTGCTGCTCACTGCTGATTGGCAGGGAGGTGAAAATAGCGGTTTTAAATATGATGCTGTTCTTGCCTCCCGATTGGTCAGCAACAAGCAGCAGGGCCCCTCAGGCAATCAGCAATAGGGAGGGACATGCAGGCAAACCTGCAAGATTAAAGGACCTGCTGCGTAGCCCACTTCCTCCATGAATTTGGTAGGTCCCTATCTATAAGGTACCTACTTCCCTTAAGATCCTTTAAGACTCAATGGGTATATCTGCTCTGGTATTTAGGAAATAGAAATCACCAGTCTGGCCTCTGTCAAACTGTATTTCACAGTATAATAAGTATACTCTTACGGCTAGATGCTGCCTACTCCTCCCTCTCTGGACCATACTCAAAGGTGAATAGTCCAGCTTAGACAACTATGTAGAGGCAGTATTTAGCCTAGAGGTGAAAAAAATTATATAGTAGGTGGAGTTTAGTTCCCTATTGCCAACAAATGCTGATCTGTTATTTGCTATTTGCTATGTAATTGGTTACTATGTCACATTATTTTTGTTCCCTGATTGGATGTTTCTATACCCATATGACTGTCAGAACTTCTTCACACTTTCAGTTTCTTTCTGAATCTAAGTCTCTGAGTAGATACCCCGCAACATTAGCAAAGAACAAGTAACCATTCTGTGTTTTTGTCTGAAGACAAATTTGTTCATTCCATGCATTTGCTTTGTTGATCTTTGCTTATTTCTTGCTTCTCCATTGTTTCCAACATTTACACAATTGTCTTTACTGCTATGTTCACTAAATTTTTCCATAAATTATTTCCTGCGCAAGTATAATATTTTACATAATATTCCCTACTTTTTCCACCAGTGTGAAAAGTTCATTTTTTTTTCCACTATACTACTTTGACTTTGAATGTACCAACTCACTTCATAGTATGATTTTGGGTCTTCAGTAAACCCCGCCTCCTTAAATGTTTTCTTGAAATCTTTGTTTTTTGACGTTATACATGCATTAAGGCCATAATCCAGAACATGGTATTCTAGATGAGCTTTAACCTGTGCTTTGAATAGTAACAATATTGCTGTTCCTGATTTGTATTTTGTCTCAGTATTGCCAGCATTCTGCTTACCCTTTATTACTCAAGCCATATGCTGGGCCAATGGCTTTCAAAGATTTTTCTTCTATAACCCCTAAATCCCTGCCCTGGTCAGTATGCTGCACTGCTGTTCCATCTAACACATGCTCTATATGTTGTTGACCCCTTTCATGCCTCCTGTCTTTATTTTATAGTTGCTGCAATAAACTGCATTTTCCATTCACTTAACCTGTCAAATAAAAGTTAAAATCTCTCTGCACCTCATTGTCTTCTTTGTTAGTCATCACATCTCCACTGTTGGCCTCAGAAACAAACTTTAAGATTTTACATTTCCTTCCTTCAGCCAGATCATTTACATGTTGCATCTTGTTGACAATTGTTAACTGAAAAATATGGAATGCCAATCCCATTATTAAATAAATGTTCACCTTGATAAATTATCAGTGAGACTTGTTCATTTCCTTTCTCTCAGTTACTTTTCTATCAAATTCTATTACACTGTGTGAAACTCTCTTTCTCTTTCATATGGCATCAGATATCATCTTTCAAATCTATGAGCCACTGTCTGGTATTGTCACTCAATGTGTAGACTCCATTTATCCTGAACTGATTTGCTAGAAGTCTCTAGTACTTGTAGCTCCCATTGACTTCAGTTTGAATTGTTGGTGCTCAGCATGGATGAAAAGTCGTACACTGTAACTTTCTACTCAAACCAGTATTTTTGATGCTTCTGGAATATCTATGGGCCAAACCATCCCTCCCTCAGAGAGTGTAACTAAGGAGATGAATTGGCATGAAATAGTTTGAAGTACCTCAAGACATTGTGCCTGTGCAAGGCAGAAGCAGGCCTGATTGTGGTGTGAGGAGCAGGGTTACTGGTGGGTCCTGCTATGTCTTTTGAAAAAAAATGCCATGCAGCCACTCCAGTGTAGTTTTCCTAATCTTTGTTGGATGTGCCACTGGCAGGACACCGCTTCCACCTCACCCTGGCACACCTGTCCTGGAACTATGGTGGTGTCTGTAATCCTAGTACCTCCTGTGTGGTCTCAGGAAGCCCAGTTTTCCTATGCCTTCTACCCACCCAGAGAAATATGGCATTGGAAAAGGTTCCCTATATCAACTCTCCCCTTCAAATACTTGGGCTGTGGTAGTCATAATTTGGGTCCTCTGCACTTCTCACATCAGTTTTATCTCTGCAGAATTCTCATGATTTTAGAAAAAAATCTCTCATAAACTCAAATTTATTCTCATTCTCTCATAATCTCATTCTGGCATTCTGCTATCCAAGGTATTTCCTCTTCAAATAGTACAACATTGTTTCAAATTCCATTGTCCAAGATTACAAAACAGTCTCTACTAGCCTGTAGTATTAGCACAAAAAAGCATTTAATTCTTCCCTCTTAAATCCTCTTTGATTTAGCTTTTGAAGATGTCTCCAGCAGTGTTGATAAACTAGTACAGCCATCTCAAGAGCTAAGAAGTCCCTGTCTACATTCTTCACTTAGAAAAATTAGATTCTTGTCTTAGTGTGTAATTATTGTTTTTATTTTCTATTTCAGCTTTTTTCTACCCGTACCTTCTGGATAGTGAGTGTCTTACAAATGTGACACAGAGATAATAACAGATCACTCTAAGGATACTATCTATTCCACTAACAATCTAACATACAGCAGTGAATATGATATGACAATAAAGCATTTATCTTGCCCCTACCTAAAGGCTGGTGGTATCAAAACAAAGTTGACTGTTGCTCAGTGGACTAACATTGTCTATCTTTCCTGCTTCTGATAGTTACAGATGCTATTTTTCTGTTCTCAGACAGCAGGATTTCAGGAGATTCTGACTGAAATTGAAATTTTAGCTTTGATTGTGGGATGTTTATGTCATGACCTTGACCACAGGGGAACCAACAATGCCTTCCAAGCCAAGTAAGTTTTCTAATTCTTATTACTTTAATTTGTTTTCCTTCTATACAAGAGCAAAAGGTGACAGGGGATAAAGAATGAAGCATTAATTTCAGGGCTCCTAGGCCAAGGCCAAGTATTTCTATGCTTGCATGTAATGAGGGACTATCCATCTTTATAATTCCCTATTCTTTTTGGTAATTGCTGACTTGCCCTTAGTGTCATGCTGTTGATTTTGGTTACCCTTTGTGAACTGACACCTAGTATAGAAATGTGGCACCAAACAGTGATGCCTCTGCCTGTCAAATTTCTGTCAGTTACAGTCCTGTAAGTGCTAACCATGAGGAGCTTTGCAACTACCCTGATTTGTCCCTCACTGGCATTTGAACCCTAGTGAAAATGTTTCCAATTATATCAGATCAAATTAAATAAGCTAAAACTGAAACCACATGTTCACCAAAGGATGGCATCTACTTAATGTGTATGAAGCCCAGCTTTTATTTTTTGGACTGTAGAATGGTTGGCACCTGTCTAGAACCACAGTGTAGGCTGCCCAGAACAGATGGGCTGAAAAACCAAATGCATTTCTTTCACATCCACCATGTAAAGCCCTAAAACAGCTCTTCCCAACCTTTTCCTCAGCATGACTCCATTTATGACCCCATTTCCTCAGCATGACTCCATTTCCTGAACATGGCCTCTCACTCTCAACCCGCAGCCCCCTGCCTGCCTCCAGCCCTGCCGGAGGGAGTCCCCAGCTGCCAAGGCTACGGGACCAGGGCCAGGGTCTGCAGCCCCCCACCTCTCCTCAGCAGTGCCCAAGCCGGAGCAGTGCCCGAGCAGGAGGTGGCAGTTGCTGTGGCCGGAGCAGAGCGTGGAACCCAGCTCCTCTCCCCCATCCCGCAGGCAGCAGGGCTTGAGCAGAGCCCATGACCCATAAATCCTTGAGGGGGCAGGATGTAGGCTACCTGCTGTGGGCTCAGAGCTCCCCACCTTGCTGCCCTCCCCACAGGGGCCTCTGCAGCTCAGTGGGCGGGAATGTGAGGACAGAGAGGTTCAGTGTTGCTACTGGGAGTCTCATGCTGGCAGTGCCACCATGGCAAGGTGCCCCCGCCCACCTGGCAGCAGTGACAGCAGCAACGTAGAGTTGTGCCCCCTGCTGCTGTCAGGTGGGCAGGGGGCACCTTGCCATGGCAGTGTGGGCAGAATGGGGCTCCCAGCAGTGGCACTGAGCCTCCCTGCCCCACTCTGCTGTGGACACAGGCAGGGTGGTGGAGAGCCCTCAGCCCACAGTGGGCATCTTGCATCTGCCCCAATCGTGCACACAAATCTGGGGGGCATATGCTCCCCCCCATGCCTCCCTCCCCAGGAGAGCACACAGTGGCAGGGAGGTGGCCCTTCCACTGCCCCCCAGACAAGCCTCACTGTGGGGGTCTCAATCTGTCTTCTCCCCCCCGCCCAACTTACCTAGAGGGAGCAGCAGGAGCTGCTCTCCACACTGCCTGGCTGCCATGTGCATGTGCGCCCTCCTCCTGTTCCCTGCAGTCCCAAGCAGCCCCCAGCAGGCTGGAATTATGCAAGCCTGCAAGGGGGACCTGCCATTTCCCACTTTTTTCTCCTTTAAAGGAGAAAATCTGTGATTGTCTTTGCAACCTCATTTTTTATCATTGTGACCCCAAAGGGGGTCATGACCTCAAGGTTGGGAAGTGCTGACCTAGAACTACTGACTCTGTGTAACACAGATACGTGGTTCCTTCCCAACCCATCTGCTAGGTATCTTGTGTGCTGAACTAATGTGAACTTGTGTGCTGGACTAGTGTGAACATTTGACATAACGTAGGGTGTATATGCTCCCCAGGAAGATGGGCTGGCTGGTTGTCAAACATCCCACAGAGCTGTTAGCTGGGCTTACTCTTCAAATTCTTATATAAGCTAGGTGGAAACTTGCAGTGGCCCTCCAGACCCGAGTGATACAAATGTATCAGAGCAGCTGCAATTTCAATATTCTTTTATTCAGAGTTAAAGTTGGATCACTTTTGCTGCATTTGTATTGCTTCTGGCTTGTGCACATATTACTTAAAACATAACAGCTGCTGTGCCCCTCCCCACACCAAATGAGCAGCTCCCCTTTTGAAACAGCTCCAAGTGTACATGTCCACCCCCTATGTTAGCTTATTCTTCCCCATTTTTGTTCAAAAGAGGAGGATATTTGCTAGAATGTGTGCTGTTCGCAGACTGCTGTTTCTGTGGGCAAACTGCCTTGGTGAACTCCTCTAACTGATATTTGGCTGTTCCTTAAACTGCAGTCTCCTTAGCTCTTGGTGTTCCTGCAGTCTCAATGAAATGCTGACATTATCTGAATCCTTGCTCGCCATTGCAAGGGAAATGAATTGCCATTCTGCAAAACAACTGCTGGTGTAAAGGTTACAAAGCATCACCAGTTGCTTTCCGCAGCTGGAGTCTTAAAGGGAAGCAGAAAAGATGGGAAATTGTGTAAGACAACTGGAAAAGCTGATGTGTGTGTCCCTAACTTATAAAAATGGATCTTGTGTATAAATTACATTCTTACAGGTTTGGACTCTGATTAAACTAATCACCATTTAATTCTCTTTTGGGGACTGTGAATCGGAGGGTTTCAGCATTAGAATGCCATCTCCTGCAGTTGTTTGACAACTGCATACAAAGAGGAGGCTGTCTTTTTATAACATCATAAAGAAATAGTTGAATACATTTAACAAAAGACATGGTGTGACACATATAAAATATCCCTGAATATAGAAGTTGTAACTTTCATAACACCAACTGTGATTTATTCCTCCAACCTAACTTATAAAGTTAAGCATCACATTTTCCTATTTTATCTTTAGTGTTCAAGAGTAGTGTTTTGTGCAATGAAAGATCAAGAGGCATATGATAGAAGCAGCATCACAGTTCTCTGAAATTGCTCTGTTAATACACCTCAACACTGTTTTCTCTAGGGATGATGTTTTCCAGTCATCCCCCTCTCTAATGCAGCTGCCCCTGATGATTAAATATCAGTATGGTACAGCTTTGTAGTATATACTCCTAGGAGACTCCTTCTATTCGTTTCTAGCATAATCTCTTATACTCATTTCTTTGGAAAGAAAACCCATCTTGTCGCTTTAGGCTGGGTCCCAGAAGTGAAATAGTGGTGAACATTAATCTACCCTGACAGTTCAATCCTATTCCTTTCCACCTCCCAACAATTTTCAATTTCATAATTACATTTCATAGTTTCTCCTCCTTTAAAGTTTCAACTTAGAATTTTTAAGCCCCATACCATATATATTTTGTGGCTGATCTTTTTTTAAACAATAAGCATAACTGGAAAATATATTCTAAGGATTCTCTTAGACTTTCCTTTTCTATCTTCAGGTTCAGCTTCTATTTCCTTGTTCACCTTAGCGTTTTTGAATTTGCATGGAAGATACCTACTGTAAGGACTACTCTTACAGCTTTTCCATAGCAGAGTTTTTCAGATATCTAGTAGATATCACTTTTGTTCTATATACTGAGGGTTGGAGCTGTGCAGAAGTGGAGGAATTGACTGAAAGCCCCAAGGCATTTACAGTCCATGTATACTCTGTGTGTGTGCGTGTGTGTGTTAGATATACACATATATTTGTGTGCATATATACCATATATAGGTGTGTGATTGTTTATTTATAAACTATGAAACACCGTATGACTTGAGATGTACCTAATTTTTTTTTTAACTACAGACATTGAGAAGGTACCAGAAGTGTTGCTTCTAGATTACTTTGGTTCAAAGGGACCTGTTCTCCTAAATCATTTAGCTGTCTTTGAATATTCCCACCAAAAATTTAATGTTGCTCAAAAGGAATCATCAGTTAGTCAGAGTAAATGTATCAGGCACCAAAATCTGAAAGCCTGGCCGTAGCTGTAAATTAATATATTGAATGTGAAATTCCACTTACATTTCAGAACACTGTATTTGAGAATGGGTGGATGTCCTGGAAACTAAATCTCTTAAATTAAGAAAAAAAATCCAATTAAATCAAGGGGGAAATAGGAGAGGACACTATGAACAATTTTTGTAATATTTATTTGTATGCTTTTTAACTGATTGCTGATTGTTAACTCCATGTGTTGCCTCTCAGGAGTGGATCAGCTTTGGCTCAGCTTTATGGAACGTCTGCTACCTTGGAACACCATCATTTTAATCATGCTGTCATGATTCTTCAAAGTGAGGTAAAAAGCAGCTGTTTTATTAAAGTTGTATGCTTGGTGGGCTGTTTCACCAGCCAGGAAATGGAAATAAACACCATGCACAAACCCAGCTGGGTGGCACACAGGGATTATATGGCTACTGGTGCATGGGGAGCCCAACACTGAGCCCAATACCAGGCTCCCTATACACTGGAACTGTCAAAACCCCATGTGCAATCCAGCTGGGTTTGGACATGATGTGTATATCCATTCAGCTGGGCAGCACATGGGGTTTGACAGGCCACACATTCAACTTAAGGTGCAATAGAAATGTGGAAGAACTGTGGCCACCCATAAAATCAGTGAATCTGAAACATACTTCCTCCTTGTGATCCACGAGAATCATTGCTTTATCCGATGAATATCCAACTACTGTCTCTGCTCACGCATTTCTAACTCGGACAATTCATCTTGCTAGGATTTTAATTTTTATATGCTGTGTTACTACTTCTTTGATAAAAAAAAATGTGGAAGTAAGACAAAATGCTTTCAAGCTAGAATAAGTGCAGATCCAGAATCTCTGCTAGCACAATCTGGAGTCAAACAAGTTATCCCAGTTTGCCACTGAAGTCAAACAGCTTATACCAGTTTGCATCACCTAAGGACCTGGCCTGCTCTCTCTAGTACATTGTAATTACACTCAATGGAATACACTGATATTTAATACAACAGTCTGCAATTGTTATCTTCAGGAAAACTTCCATATTTTATTATTTTGTTAGCTTCCTATTCATGCCATAAAAAGTGTCTATATTTTGCTCTAGGCACCTTTGAGAGAGTCTTGCACACTACGGTAATGTTTAGTTTTTCACAGGATGTATTAAGTCAGCAAGGCACTAGAATCTTGAAGACAGCAGGAAAATCCTCCTTTTTAGCTATTTGTAAGGCAGTATTTCTGATATGCTGGTGCATTAATCTGTACTATGAATAGCTACTGTTTTTAATACACACTGTCATGTTTTTTTCTGGCTACACTGAAGTTAAATTGTATTTATAATTAACCTTCTAGATTCCCCCAGCTTTCCCAATGATTGGGTGAAAAAAAAATCTTTTTTTTGAGGATAAGGTCACTCAGGGAAGGATAGATGTCCTTTTTATGTATAGAAAACTCTTTGTTTTCCTTACTGTAATTTTCTTCTTCCTAAGCACTAGATGGCAGTGCATATTGGATTTGAACATTAGACGGCTACAAGCTACCAAAATTACATTTGGTTTGATACAACCATTGTTATTTCGAAGGGTAACAAAGCAGTATGTGAGTGCTGTGTTATGTATATGAATGTAAGCACACGTGACTGACGTTCTACAGTTAAGTCTTTAGCTTAAAGTTCAACTTAAATGAATGGCAGTATATTCTTTCAGTTTGTTTTCTCCCCTGCATTTATGGAGAAATGAATGGCTAATCTCTTCACCCTAATTTCATAGTTTCATAGTTTCTAGGGTCGGAAGGGA